ACGGTCGAAGAGAAGGGTCTCGAGACCGGCCTTGAAGGAGGCGAGGGAGGAAGCGAGGGGAAGGGACCGTGGGATGGAGTCCCAGAGTGTGGGGGCACACAGAGCAGTGACAAAGATAAACCAAGTCAGAAACAGGAGAGAGAGACTCACACACGCGTGCGCGCGTTTTCAGTCACTCCACTTTACAATATATCCTGATGCGTTATCAATTGCAACGATTATTATTATTATTATTATTATCTAAAGAAGGCAGATAAAGACACAGTTCGAGACAGAAAGATTGGAATCCAAGACAGAATACACACACACACACACACACACACGAAGGGAGGAACAGAAACTAACACACGCAGAGAGACAGAAACCGATTTTTAAAACCCAGAGGGGCAAACAAGTTGATTCTCAGTCACACATACAGAAAAAACAAGTAGCCAGATAATCCCTCTCCCCCCACCAAAAAAAATAATAATAATTTGGTCACTTCAATCCACGGCTGTTTGTGGGACGCTGCTGTGCGCGATTGGCTGCCGCGTTTCGCCCACAAAGCATACAGTATATTCCGCGAAGCGCTTCGAGGCGTCTCAACGACGTGATAAGGCACGATATCAAGTGCGAGGACCGCGATGACTGTGTGCCACGTGGTTGCTTAAAATTTGGTTTCACACCAAAGGTACCTAAGCAGGAAGAAAAGGGGGTAAATAAAGAGAGTGGGAGAGCGGGGAAAAAAATATGGCATCGCAAAGGAAATCACAAGTAAGGGTTGCACACCTGTCATTCCAAAGTTTATTTTTGTAGAGTACAAAACAAAGGTACAGATCTTCACGGTTTATTATTATTATTATTATTATTTATTATTTATTATTATATCAGGCCAGAAATCTCGTAAAAGATTCAAATAAAACCGAAAAAAAATTCATACTTTTTTTTTCTTCTCTTTCAACAAAAAAAAAGGGTTAGTTTTTAAGCGATTCTGTGTCGTCCCAGGACTTTTCAATTTTCACACAAAAAAAAGAGAAGCGAAACCGAAATATTTACAGGAACTAGAAATATTTATTTTATTACTTTTTTATTTTTAAAAAAAAATTCAGCATTCGGTTCCTCAGGTTTCACCCGACTCTAGCCTGCCTGAAGTTGGGGGTAACGGGGGGGGGGGGGGTGAGAGAGTGGGGCGTGGCGGAGGTTGTGTGTGTGTGTGGGGGGGCGGGAAAGGGACAAGAGGGAGAGGAATTCATAAGAGAATTGATCCATGGTACTGTGCGTGTGTGTGTGCGTGTGTGCGTGTGGGTGTGTGGGAAGGGGAGGTGTGGAGGCTGAGGGAGGGGTAGGGCTGAGAGGGAGAAGGCGTAGATGGGAAGCAAAAAGGGGCTTAATCGTTGGATATTCCAGAAGGAGGCCATTCGGCCCATCGTGCCGGCTCTCGACAGAGCCATCCAACCCGTCCCACTCCCCCGCCCATCCGTCCAATTAAAAATTCCTTAATAATCTTAAAAAATATAACCAGTTGGTTGGTGGGCGGCAGAGAAAAGGAAGTGGGGTGGGGGTGGGGGGGTGGGAAAGCGAGGTTGGGTCACGGGACACAAGCGAAAGAACGGTAACTGTCCCAAATCGGGTGTCAATGCCCCCTCCCCATGTGTTTTGTGTGCGTTTTTTGGATGTTTATTGCGCAGGGCTGAATTTGCCCTGGGAAGGTGGGGCGGGCGGGGTGGGGGGAGAGGGTGTGGGGGGTAAGAGAAACAAGAGGCATAGGGGGCGGTGGGGGAATAAAAAACACATCAAGTGCTCTCTCCTGGCTGTGAGGAAAGGGGGTCTCTCTCGCCCCCACCCCCACCCCCCACACACACCCACAGCCACCACCACCTCTCACTTCCCCAGCAGATCCACTCAATCTCCATTAACGGAAAAACTCGCCCCCTACCCCCCACCCCTCCTCCCCTCCCGTTCCCTCCACCCATCAAAAGAAAAAAAAAAAGGGTCAGGCACTGGGATCTGACCTGGTTGGACGTACGGCCGTTAGGCTATGAAATGCCACGAATCTTATCCTTCGAAAAGCATCGAAAACAATCTGCGGCTGAAACCGTTAACCCAGTTATTCTCTCCTCCGTGCCTCGCTACCGTCAAATAACGGGCCAGCCCCCACCCTACAGCCTGTCGTCATCCCCCCCAACACCCCTCCACCATACCCCTCGCCCCCCCAAAAAAAAACATAACACAGAACTCTGAAAATATATCCCCGCTACAGACGTCGACAGCAACAGGCTATCCAGATGAAACGATGCACGGCTCCACTGAATAATCTGATCTGTGTTTATGGCGTTATTAATATTAAGACGTTGACTTTTTTTTTTGGGGGGGTGGGGATGGGGGGGGGGTGGGGAGAGAATTATTTAATTAAAAAAAAAACCCACAATGTGCGGATGTGAATTTTAGGGGTCTTTTCTTTTCTTTTTTTCCCCCGCATGCCGTTAGTCCGGGCGGACCACACAAGAGCAAACTCGTCGTATTTTTTTTTTCTTTTTTTCAAACATTATCGGACAAAATATGCATATTACTATACAATATTTAACACTTTGGAACAGCAGACACATGCAACACGGAAAAAAAATGCATCTTCCCAAATCCAGCATTCGCCCCGCCACCCCCCCCCCACCCCCACCCCCCTGCCCACTCCCCCACCCCACCACCCTCCCGCCCCAACCCCCACCCCACCCCCGCATGGCGTGCACGCACGCAGGAGTGCACGTGCGCAACCACACACACACGTTTATATTTACACACTTTTACATACAATTTACAGGATGCTAAACAAAATAGAGCCAATCCTCTTTTTTTTTTTCCCCTGGATTCATTCTGTTGCGGGAGAACGAGATATACAGTATATATTAAAAAAAGAATTCCTCGGGTCAGTCTCTCGTGCCTGTTTGTGTGTGCGTGTGTGTGTGTGTGTGCGTGTGTGTGGGTGTGTGTGCGTGTGTGGGTTTGTGCGTGTGCGTGTGTGGGGAGGGAGGTTGGGTGCGCGTGCGCGCGTGTGTGTGTGTGTGTGCGTGTGTGATTGTGTGTTACATGTCACGTCAACCGAGAAGATGGGAAAAAAACACAGGTTTCTCCCCCACCACCACCCACCCACCCACCGCCCCACCACCACTGCTACCACCACCACCGCCCCCACCCCACCCACACCCAGGAAGTTCCTGCAGGGAAGGGAAAAGAGATTCCGCACGCAACCCACGAGAACGCAGACGCTTTCTGAACGATTCATTCCAAAGAGAAAATAAAATGTTACCACCCGTTTTTTTTTACACACACACACTCACACACCTTAAACACACCGGCAAAGGAACCGCTTTGGGGGTAAAGGATCGGGGTGTCAGGAGACAGGACGTTTTTGCTCATCCACAAAATGAACGAACGCAACAACAATAACAACAACAACAACAAGAAGCCAACGAAACGACGGCCACAGCAACAAAATGAACACACACACACACACACCACCACCACCACCACCACCATCACCATCACCCGCTGAAATCAAACCGAACTCTTCCGATCGAAAGCAACGAAAGATTAAACGGGAAAATGCCTCGGGTTTTTCACTCTCCTCGCCCGAAGGGAGGCCATTCCGACCTGCCACGCAGCCAAAAAACACAACTTGCAAACAGTACTCGGGGCTTCTCCCCATCTACGTCCTCCCGACGTGAAAGGCGCTCTATAAATGGAATCTTGTTGTTGTTGTTTTCTGTGTGTGTGTGCGCGTGTGTGTGTGCGCGTGTGTGTGTTATACTGAAATGTAAGACCTTTTAAGACTGAGTTGCAATACTCGACGGCGGTGCTAATGATCACTTGTCTCCCGAGCGCCCTCCTCTCACAATACTCCCCTCTCCCCGACTTCTCCCAAAACGAATCCGACCCGGGAATACCACCGTTAAAAGAAACAACCACAAAGTTGGGAGCTAAGTGATCAGAATCACAAGCCAGACTTTCTTCTTTTTGTTTAAAAAACAAAACAGGTGTCGCGAATTGAACCCGTGAAAGCTCTCGCACCCCTAAATTTGCCGGCACGGACGCGGTGGGCCGAATGGCCTCCTTCTGTGCCGGATAGTTCTAGGTTACACAGGCCAGGGCCCAGGAAATGTTGGGGGGTGGGGTGGGGGGGGGGGGGGGGGCGGTGGGGAGTGAGAGAGAGACGGAAATGTTACGTGTGAGATGACAGTTCTACGCTGGCAATTGTACACCGGACACGTATCGGAAAACAACAGTAAATCTAATGAATGGTGGAATGGTCACTGCAACTCCCTGATGCTCGTGGGGCGGGGGGGGGGGTGGTGGTGGTAGGGGTTGTGGTGGTGGTGGGGGCAAGACTGAAATAAATCCGCATTGCAGCGCGGCAACTTATATTGCGAGATTGAAGGGGGGGCGGGGGGGGCGGGGGGAGAGCAAAACAAAACACACACACACAACGCCCTGCATCTACACTCCCTGCATCTCTCGTGTGACATCCAAAGGGTTACCTCCAGACTAGACTCTCTCTTCTCTTTCCCCCGCCGCCCCCCCCCCAACCCCCCACCACCTCGCCTCCCCCCTCAATAATTATGATAATATGTTTTACACTTGTCACAGGGGGGAAAGTGGGGGTGGGGGGTGGGTGGAGGGTGGTGGGGTTGACAACCCAGCGCCCGTCATCATTGTGAACTCTCACACACATCACCGTAGAAAAGTGGTTTGCCCTTTCCCTGCATTTTAGGTGCAAGTTCATTTAGAAAAAAACCTCTCGGAGCTGGATGGGGTGGGGGCGGGTATTTATATTATATAAACATTATATTATATACCCAACATCTGTCCGTCTGTCTTGCCAAACAATCAGGGAAGTATTGCACAAGACCTGGTCTTAACAGATTGTCGTACTGCTTTGCTGTGTGTGGGTGTGGTGTGTGTGTGTGTGTGTATGTGTGTGTATGTGTGTGTTTGTCTGTCTCAGTTTGTGTGTGTGTGTGTGGGTGGGGGGGGGGGGGGGGGCACACCTCTCTTACGGTCGATGCACGTGTGACTCTATCTGACTGTATGGGTCAGTCTGACTCTGACTGTGTCTGAGACTCTGTGTCTGTCCGTGTGAATGCATCAGCGTATATCCGTGTGTGTGTGTATGTCCTCGTGTGTGTGTGTGTGTGTGTGTGTGCCAGTGTGCTATGAGTGTTGGTGTATCTGAGTCCCTATGTGTGTGTGTGTGTGTGTGAGTTTATGCGTGCATGAGTGTACGTGTGTGACTGCGTATATGTGCATGTGTGAGTGAGCGTATGCGTGTTTGTGTGCGCTCGTGTATACGCGTGTGTGCTTGTGTCTGTGTGTGTGTGTGTGAGTCTCTGTCTTGCGTGTTTAAACCCTCGCGCCCCAACATGTCCATTCCCTCTGCTCCTCCTCCTCCTCCTCCTCCTCCTCCTCCCCGTGCCTCTCTCAGTCGGGTTCCCTCTTGATGGCGATGACCTTCTCCAGGAGGCCGTACACACCGTGCCTGAGGCTCAGGCTGGACTTCATCAGACGCAGCTCTGCCGCCGAGTCCTGGTCCTGGTCCTGCTCGGGACCCGCGGGCTCCTCCTTGACCCTCCAACGGGGCTTCTCGGTGTCCCCGGCTGGCACTGGGCGGGAGCTGGAGCGAGGCTTCCTGCGCTCGGCCTTGGCGTCCTCCAGCAGCTGCGCTGTGCCCGGACCTGGGCCTGGGCCTTGGCTATGGCTATGGCCAGCTTGGCCGCCTCGCTGCAACATGTAGTACAGGATGGGGTTGGTCTTGGTCAGCCAGGGCGGCTCGGCCGGAGGTTCCGGCCGGGGTTTGGGGCGATTGTGGCTGGCCGGCGGGGAGCGGGACCGGGGGCCGGGGCCGGGGCTGCTTGTCAGGCCCTTGACCGTCAGGGTCACGTTGTTGGTGCTGCTGCTGCTGCTGTTGTTGTGATGGTGGTGGTGGTGGTGGGGGTGGTGATGATGATGGTGGTGGCGACGAAGGCATCCCTCTGTCTCCGTTCCCCGGTGGCCGCCATCTTGTCCTCCTTGTCGGTCGGCGGGTGCGGGAACAGCCTGACCTCGGCCCCGTTGTGAAGCTGCCTGCCTTGCGACAAGGCCTTGATGCCATTCTCGGCCAGGAGCAGCTGCTTGAGCACGTTAAAGCCTTGACCTCCTCCTCCAACTCCACCTCCTCCTCCTCGAGCCTCGGCACAATCTGCTTCCCACGCCCCGCCCGGGCTTGAGCCGTACGCCAAGCCGAGGCCGTTACAAAAGTCCGGCTTGAAACCGTGGCCGTTGGGGATGGGGCCGGGCCCGTTGTCGCTGCTCTCGGCCTGCTCGGGGGGCCTCCTCGGCCTAGGCCTCTCAGTGACCTCCGACCCCGCCGGCTGGGCCTCGAACGGGGGGAGGAGAAGCCGCTTCTTCTTGGGGCCGCCTCCATTTCCGCGCCCGCAGTTGTTGTTGCTGTTGTTGTTGCCGCTGCCGCCGCCGCTGTTGCTGCAGGGGCTACCGTTGCCGGTGGCGACGGCCGGGGCCGGGGGCTGCTCTGCCGGCTCCAGGCCCAGGCCCAAAGCGAAGCCTAGGCTGTTGCTGTGTCTCAGGAGGAGTTGGCTCAAGACTCCCGCCTTCTGCGAGGCGGCGCCGTGCGGTAGCGAGGGAGGCGAGTCCGCCATCATCTTCATCACCGGCGTCTCTTCTTCTTCTGCTGCTTTGTCTTCTTCTTCCACCACCACCTTGTCCTCCGCCACTTCCTCCTCCTCCTCCTCCTCCTGCTTGATCACGACCGCCTCTTCATACGTCCAGGGCAGCGACAGAGTTGGGGGCGGTGGGAGAGGAGGAGCTTCCATTGCCGGGCTGGACTGTCGTTGTTGCTGCTGCTGCTGCTGTGGATGTTGATGGTGATGTTGGTGATAACAGCCATTGCCGCCATTGGCGGGACTTCCTCCTCCTCCGCCGGTAATTGAGGCCTCGGAACAGCGGGAAGAGAAGCCGGGCTCTCGCTCCTCAGGCTCCTCGGGCTCCGTCTTGACGGCGAGCAGCGGCGGTGGAGCGGCAGCCTTGCCCCCTCGACCGCCATCATCATCCTGGCCTGAAGCCGGCCGACGGGCCTCGGCGCCCCCGCCCCCCCCGCCCCGGGCGGCCCGTCTCCTGCTGCCGTTACCAGCCCTTGGCTGCGACGGAGCCTGCGGCTGCTGGTCGGCGTCGCTGGGAGCTCGCAGGAGCAGCTGTAGAACGCTACGGCGGCCTGGCAATGGCGGCCGCTGCTGATGCTGGTGGTGGTGACTATGTTGGTGACTGTGGTGGTGGTGGTTGCCGAGATGGTTGTCGTCCATGGCCTCCAGACCAGCGGCAGCCGGTGGTGGCAGCGGCAGAGCCGGAGGAGCCAGGGCCCCGGGAGAGGAGCAGCAGGAGACGGAGGAGGTGAGGGAGGACAGGCCCGGCTGGAATCCGCCCCGTCGGCCCATCAGTCTGGAGGAGGAGGAGGAGGAGGAGGAGGAGGAAGAGGAGGAGCAGGAGGAAGAGGACATGGTAGTTATGGCGACGGCGTTGTCTGAGCTTGGGGGAGGGTGATGGTCGGTCTGGGCCAGGTCCTGCAGCAGTTTACTGGCACTGAACGAGAAGCTGTTGCCGTTCCCGGGGTGGGGGTTGTCCCCCGGGGCTGGAGGGAGGGGCGGGGCGAAGTGTTGGGGCCTCCCGCCGCCGCTGAGGAGCGAGCAATTGGGGAAGCGCTCCAACGACAAGGCTGAAGTCTCTCTGCCTCCTCCTCCTCCTCCTCCTCCTCCCCCGCCTCCACACCGCTCCGGGGTCGGCTTGGAGAAGCGTCGCCGCGGGTCCCTGTCCGCCAGAGGCGCCGCTGTGGCCGTTGCCACAGCGACAGTGGGCCTGGCCCCCGGACGGTGCGAGGCCGCCTCGGGTTCCCGTTTGCAGGTCACGCAGGCGCTGGAAGCCACCTTGAGGGGGGCTGGGGACCGCGAGGGGAGCGAGGAGGAGGAGGACAAGGAGGAAGAGGAAGAGGAGGAGGAGGAGGAAGAGGTGGATGAAGAGTGCGGAGGCAGAGGCCCCAAGAAGTCAGACTTTCTGCTCAGCCCGAGGGAGGAAACTATTGCCATTCCAGTCTCGGGCAACAAGGGCTCCATCTTGGGCAACAAGGCCTCCGCCTTGAAGTAGTGCTGCGACGGCTGTGATGGTGGCTCGGGCGTCCCCTCGCCCTTCGCGTCGCTCTGATGACCCAGGAGGAGCTGGAGCAAGGTGACCCGCTGATGGGCTTTGGACTCCAGCCCACCACCAGCACCACCACCACCTCCACCTCCGCCACCACAGCTCTCCTCCTCCTCCTTGCCCTCGTGAATGGCCAGCCCCCCGGACCTCTTGGGGTTCCAGCTGAAGAGCAGCGACTGGGTCATCTGCTCCAAGCTGCCGGCCTGCAGCGAGATGGGCTCGCACATCCTGGGCTTGGTGGACAGGTCCATGGGGGTGCAGCTGGACCTGGAGCTCTCGTCACTGCTGTACAGGTCCTCGGCGGCCGAGCCCGGCTCTACCTTGACCGGCGGCAGCTTGGGCTTCCCCTGGCCCCGGTACGGCCCAGACCAGCCGGCGGGCGAGGCGGGCGGGCAGGCGTTAGAGTTGAGCAGGTGCATGAGGAGGCTGCCGCCACCGCCGCTGCCGCTTCCGCCTGGAGCCGGCGAGACGGGCGAGCAGGTCCCCTCCTCCCTGCCGGCCACCGCCGGGCTCCTCGGGCGTCCGGCCGACCGCCCGGTGGCGTGGCTCTTCCTCAAGCCGTTGGTCGCAGCCGCTGCCGGCGATTGTCCCGCCCACCCGGCTCTCTCAGGCCCTTCCCGCTCCCGCTCCGGGTCCTGCGTCCTCCTCTCGTTAACTCTCTGGCAGGCGATGGCGGCCAGCCGGTGACTGGCCGAGGCTCCGGCCGCGTGCTCGCGCGAGTACTGCTGCAGCTGGGCGTCGCTGGACAGGAGCAGGGCCAGCTGGCTGCAGGCCACGCTGGGCCGGGGGGGCGGGGGGGGCAGGGGGGGCGGGGGCTGGGGCGGCGAGCCGGGGCTCCTCAAGCTGCCCCCGTTCTCCACCAGGTTGGCCACGGCCCGCAGCCTGGCCGCGCAGGAGAGGGGCTCGGCGGGGGCCGAGGGGGGCCGGGGGGGGCGGGGAGCGGGCCGGGGCCTATCGGGGAGCCTCCGGTCGTCGGGGGGAGGGGGGCTGAGCCCGGCCTCGCCTTGCTCCCGGCTCCTCAGCAGGGCCCGCAGGTGGCTGGAGGCCGTGGCGTAGCCCCCCAGGCCCAGCCCCAGCCCCCGCTCGGGGGAGGGAGCGGCCCCCGGGGAAGAACCCGTCTGCTGGGACAGGGCCACCCTCTGCAGCCTGGAGCTGAACGACTGGAGCAGGGAAGCCAGGAGGGTGCTGTGCTGCTTGTCTTTGGCCAGAGCGTCGCCCTGGAACCCGACAGCCCCGGCCCCGGCCGAGGACGGGCCCCCCTCTCGCCCGAAAGCCTCCGGTCCGCAGACCCTCCGCCTCTTGGCCCCCTCCCAAACCTCGGCCCGAAGCAGCCGGGCCTTCTTCACGTTGGGGTTCCCCCCGGCTCGGGGGGCGGGCGGGGGCGGGGGCTGGAGCTGGAGGTCCGTGGCGGGCGAGGAGGAGGAGGAGGAGGAGGAGGAGGAAGAGGAGGAGGGTGGGGCCGCCCGGGACCCCCGCCCGTCTCCGTCGCCCTCTCCCCTCTCCCTCTTGAGGGGAGTCCCCCCAGCCCCGGCGCCCCCTGCCGGTCGATGCATTAGGACGCTCTCGAGGTAAGTTAACACGACTGAATCCTGGTGCATCTCAGAGAAAGGCTCCTCCCCATGGGTCATGTTCACACGGCGCGAAACGAGGGGCAAAGGAAAGAAAAGGGAAGCCCGCCAAGACGAAGAACCCGGAGCGGAGGAGAGCGAGTCCTTGGCGAGGAGCGAGCGAGCGAGCGTGTGTCCGTCAGCGCCTGGGGACGTCCTCAGACGTCCTGATCTCCTGGGATGTCGCTGTGGCTGTCGTCGCTGCTAGCGAGCGGCGGCGATGGCGTTCCGGCTTGGTCCCCGCGAGAGGTCGGGAGAGCTGTGGGAACCCGGCAGTCCCCAGCGAGCCATGCTTGCAGTGCCGAGGGCGTGAGGGCGTGGAGCGAGGGGAGCGGCCCATTCGTTCAGACTCCCTCCCGTCCCCGAGCCGAGCGCCTCGGCGCAAAGGACATGGCCGCTGTCCGTGCGCGGTGCACCTCTCCGTTAGGTTTCTCTCTCTCTCGCTCGCTCTGGCTCACTCTCTCTCTCTTGCTCCGGGCTGGTTCTCCCGATCGGAGAAGTGGGTCTTTTCTTTTCCCCCTCTCTCCTCCCCACTTCCCTTCCGCAACCTCCACGCACTCCTCCTCCTCCTCCTCTTCCTCCTCCGCTTGTCACCGTCGGCTCACGGAGCCTCCCGCTGCCCTCGGAGCTGATCGGCAGAGGCTGACGCCGTTCCTGGCCGGGACAGAGAAAGAACGTTTTAAATACCGGTCAGGCGATGGAAGTCAGATCCGGTCTCTATGAAACCGGGAGACAGAAACATTCAGACAGACAGACAGACAGACAGAGCGAGAGAGAGAGGTGAGACGGACGGAGATGGAGAGACTGAGATAATAATAATAACAAGAATAATAATAATCCTTCTTGCATTTGATATGGCAATCTTAACATGTCGTTGAGACGTCGCAAGGCAAAGGCACACACGTACCACACACCACACACACGCACGCGCACACAGACACCACACGCGCACACGCCACACACACAGACACACACACACACACACACACACACAGACAGACATAGGTATTAAGACAGACAACACCACCGACTTGCACTTATACAGCGCCCTTCACGCGGGGTAGCGTTCCGGAGCGCTCGACAGAGACGAAGAAGGAGACGCGCAAAGACCACGCAGACACACGCGCGCACGCAGACGCACTCACCAGGCGGAGAGAGTGAGTCAGGCAAAGAGTGAGACGCGAGAGAGTGAGAGAGAGAGAGAGAGAGAGGGGGGAGAGTGAGACAAAGAGAGAGGAGAGAGAAAGAGTGGTGAGCAGAAAGAGCGAGACCGAGGGATAGAGGAGACGGGTCTAACTGTTCAGAGCTCAGCACAGCTATTAAACAGGAGAGGCGCTTTGGGGCGCTGTGGGGACCCAGTGAGACGCGTTCAGCCCCCAGCACCGGAGCACAGAGCGCAGCAAAGAGGGTAAACCCAATGCAAAGAGGAAACGTCTGCGCGCCTGAAAACTTTGACCGGTCCTGATTTATCTCTTTCTCTCCCCCACAACCACCGCACCCCCCCCCCCCACCCCCCACCCCCACCGCCCACCCGCACCACCCACCCCCTACCATTTTGCTCCCCGCTCCCCCCCCCACCCCACCCCACCACAAAGGAAACGGTCTGTCTCTAAAGAGCGAACTCACAGCACCACTCTCCCATTCAGTCAGGCCAAACTCTCGCTAGCTCTCTCTCTCTCTGGCTCTCTCTCTCTCTCTCTCTCTTTCGCTCACTCGCTCGCTGCACAAAAGGAAATTCAACAGGATACGGGCAGCACAATCAACACCGTCGCACAAAAGAAGAAGAAAAAAAAAATCTTTTGCCATTTGCTGTCACCTCCCGTTGGCTTTTCGATCCTGGTCCTGTTTCTCTTCCCCTCTCTCTCTCTCTCTCTCTTCTCTCCCCACCCACACCCCCAACCTTAACCCCCTCACTCACCCCCCCCCCCCCCCACCCCGGAAGGGGAGATAAGAGATTTGGGAGGTGAAGGAAATAATAATAATAATAATAATCCAGCGCCTTATCAGGTCATCGAGATGTGTCAAAGCGCTTCACAGGATGTCCTGTAAATTCTGTAAACGTGACTGTATGTTTTGTGAGCGAAAGGCGGCAGACAATTGCACGCAGCAGCGTCCCCACAAACAGCCGAAGGGACTGAGTGACCAATTTTATTTTGGTGGTTGGGGGCGGGCGCGGGGGGACTGTCACACTGGGAGAAAGAAACACTCACTTGGGACCTCGGTTTGACGTCTCATCCGAAGGACGGCGCCTCTGACAGCGCCACACACCACACCACCCCCACCCCACCCCACCGCCGTCAGCTTAGACCGTGTGATTCCAAGTCATGACGTGAGGGCTTGAACCCACAACCTACTGACTCAGGAGGCGAGAGTGAGCGCTACCACTGAGCCAGGCCGACACACAGGAGGGCAGCTGGAAAGTTGTTGCCGAAACACTTTCCTTCCTCCTGAACCCTCCCCTCCTTTGTTTGCACACCCCCTCCTCCCAGCAGGAGTTATTTCCCCCCCCGTCCGTCCACCCTCAACCCCCACACCCAAACCGAGGACAGGATAGAGTCAAATAGAAGCCCAGCATCTCCCTACCTCTCTGACCTGCTTATACCTCACTCCGCCACCCACTCCCCTCGCTCAGCTTTCTATTCTACAGCTTTCTATTACTATCGTGTAGTCCTGTAGCTCAGCGGTTGGAGCGCTCGCCTCGCAAGCGAGAGGACCTGGGTTCGCTTCTCGGGCGGGGCAATACGTTGGGCAAATATCCTTACTCGACTGGGGGGTCGCTTTTCCGGGGTTAATAATCCCTTCAAAAAAAGAAATAATAATAAATTTGATAGAACACCTTATCACGTCTTTGAGATGTCTCAAAGCGCTTCACGGAATATGAATTGACTGTAAAGTGAATTGACTGTATATTTTTGTGGGCGAAACGCGGCAGCCAATTGCGCACAGCAGCGTCCCCGCAAACGGTCGTGGATTGAAGTGACCAATTTTTTAAAAAAAAATGTTATTCAAGTGCAGAGTTGAGGGCGTTCTGCCTTCTTGGAAGTTCCGTCCTTTGCTGAGATGTTAAACAGAAGCTCCATCTGACATTAAAGATCCCGTGATCCTATTCGCGAGTTGCGACCCCCAAGTAAAATTGGTCAACCACTTCATGACCGTTTGTGAGACACTGCTGTGTGCAAAAAATTGGCTGCTAGGTTCACCCGCAAATCACACAGTCACTACACTTTACAGTAAAATCCTGTCACGAGCTTAAGAGACTGCTCAACCACAAACAACAACTACAACAAAATAACATTTGTATAGCGCCTTATAATAATAATCCTTGCATTTGATATAGCGCTTTTCACGTCGGGAGGACGTCCTATATCAAGTGAAAGGATTAGTATTATTATTATAACCTGACTCAGAGGCGAGAGTGCTACCAACTCAGCCCAGACTGACCCACAATCAATAGCCCAGGGTAAATCATATGGCAACTCCTGAGATTATTATGATCGTTACAATGGGGTTGTGTGGCCTCCAAAAGTACCCAAGATTTCTGAGGTTTTGCAGTCAGGTTGACCCAACAACACTCATGCTTGGTGTCGAGAGAAATGGGAAGAGAAAGAAGTTTCATAAAGATTCACAGATTTCTAAAAATAGCCATTTTTCCACTAAACCTTTGTATCGAGAAATCTCATTGCCGAAACTCAGCAAAAAAAAAACCATGCGCTTTTTTTCTGAAGCTTTTAGCCGCTGATCAACGGGAGTGTTTTGATCTCTGGTCAGGTTACAGAAGCCTGGATCAACTCACAGGAGGGAATAGAGATGTCAAAATCTTGCCAGACAGCGATATCAATGGCAAACTGGTTAGACTCCAGCAGTTACCCCAACGCACACTCTGGGCTCCACCCCCCCAAGCCTTGGGTCTTGCCAACCTGCGCCTAATACTTTTCGGAATTAGGTAAAGCAGGACGCGTCTCTCCAGGGAGAGAGCGAGAGAGAGAGAGCGCATTCCACTCCAACAACCTATCTCTGGGATTGCTGTGTGTAGGTCGGGTGCGTGGAATTCTCAGGTTGGTTTGGAGACTCTTAAGCAACGGTGATGGGTTTCCGCACGCGTCAGACACCCGGCTGACCCCCCCAAAATAGTTATATTACACAACTCGGAATGATAGTACAGTTTCATTCCTGTAGAGTAGATTGACTGTGTATTTGGCGGGCGAACCGCGGCAGCCAATTGCACACAGCATCGTCCCCACAAACAGTCGTGGATTGAGTGACCAATTTATTATTATTTTTATGAAGGAATTATTATCCTCGGAAAAGCGATCTGCCAATCGACTAACAACCGGGTTCCTACTGACTGCAGGGTAAACGGAGGCGTGTGTGTGTGGAGTAAGGAAACTTGCCCAAAGTCCTGCTCGGGAATCGAACCCGGGTCCTCTCGCTTGCGAGGCGAGTGCTCTAACCACTGAGCTGCAGGACAGAAAGCGATAAGAAACTTGAGGAATGATCATATTAAGGGATCAAGCGAGCGGGCAGGCAGGATGGAGCGGCGGGGGGGAGGGGGGTTTGTAGTTCATGACCCGTGAAATGACCTGTGCGGAAATAATAATATTAATAATAATCCTTGCATTTGATACAGCGCTTTTTCTCGTCCCCGAGACGTCTCAAAGCGCTTCTCAGAATATACTATGAAGTGAACCGACCGTATATTTGTGGGAGAAACGAGGCAGCCAACTGCGCACAGTAGCGTCCCCACAAACAGTCGTGACCAATTTATTATTGTTTTTCTTTCTTGAGGGATTATTGTCAGGCGTGTGTGTGGGGAGTAAGGAAACTTGCCCAAGGTTTCGCCCTGACCGGGAATCGAACCCAGGTCCTCTCGCTTGCGAGGCGAGTGCTCTAACTAACCCCTGAGCTACAAGACTCCACATTGGGCTCAATGGGTTTGAATCTATCCTCCTGTGTCGCAGCCATCGTGTTGGACTCAGCGATTATTGTGCGACAGCCTGGTTCAATTGACATCACTCTCACTTCCCAGTCAGGACATTGCGTTGTGGGTTCGAGACCCACCCACGGGGGTGACACTTCAGCAATGCTGGGGGGAGCACATTACTGTCAGATTAGATGTTTAAACCCAGGTTCCATCTGTTCAGGTGGATGTTAAATAATAATAATAATCCTTGCATTTGACACAGCGCCTTATCGCGGCTTCGAAACGTCTCAAAGCGCTTCACAGGTCACACCGTAAAGCGAACTGACTGTATGTTTTGTGGGCGAAACCACGGGTTAAAGATCCCGTGGCGCTATTTCTAAAAGAGAAGGAAGTTTCTCCTGAGGTCCCGGACAACAACCCCTCAAATAAAATTGGTCACTCGCTCCATGGCCGTTTGTGCGAAGTTGCAGTGTGCAAATTGGCTGTTGCAGTCGCCTGCTATACACAGTCACGGCATCTTGCGGTCATATCCTGTGGAGTGTTTTGACACGACAGGTGGTTTAACTAATTGTAAGGATTATTATATTATGATGATTAAAGAACCTTAACAAGCACCTTACCCGATGTGAGGATTATTATTATCACGTCCCGGTTACACGAAAGGCGCTCTATCAAATGCAAGGATTATCGTTTATTTATTATTTTACTTACGGTACCGTGAAGTGTTTGTTTTCTAATTTAAGGTTTTTTTTTTATTTAAAGCAAACAGAGGTTGCAGTGGCGCAGACTGCTTCTCGCCTGCTACGAATTTCTGTGGCTCTCGGTGAGAAGGGATCCGTTGAGAGGCGCAGGCGAGGCTTGACCTAAAAAAACACACGCACCTCGTTGGTTTCACGAAGCGTAAAAAGGAAGGAGTGGGAGAGGTAGCACACGTGTCAAGAGACTCAAAGAGAACGCTGACCACATTATTAAAGAGGTCGACAAAGAGGCTCAGGTTCAGCTTGGAATTACAGAAACCCGCTGACTTCTGCTGAATGCAACAACAACAACAACAACAAGATTTCATTTACAGAGGGCCTTTCACGTCGGGAGGACGTCCCAAGGCGCTGGACATACACCAATTCCCTGGGACCTTCCATTCCATTCTTATGTGATTCAGCTCTGCGCAAGGCACGGATTTGATGACAGAGGAAAGTTTTTGCTGTGCGTTTAACTGCTCGACAGACGGGGTAGAGCAGTGTGTTGCGTTTTCTTTTAGTCTGACACAAATGCGGAAAGAGTCTCCAAACCAAACTGAGAATTCCATGTCTCCCACCTACACCAGGAAAATCCCAGAGGTTAGATTGTTGGAATGGAATACTCACTCTCTCCTAGGAAGCTGGTTGTTAGTCGATTGGCGGATCACGTTTCCGGGGGTAATAATTCCTTCACAAATAATATAATAATGATAATTTGGCCGCCCAATCCACGACTGTTTATGGGATATGCGCAATTGGCTGTGAGTTTCACCCTCAAAATATACAGTTAATCTACTTTACAGTACATGTGAAGTACATTTACCTGTATTGTGTGAGTGTGTGCAAGGCATTTTCTACTTAAAATTAGTGCATGTGGCTAAAATGGTGTCCCCATCCCCACCTGTGTCTATTCATGATTTGTATTGGACAACTCTGTAGAGGGAGCTTTACTCTGTATCTAACCTGTGCTTTCACTGACCTGAGACTGTGGACCAACAGTGTAGAGGAGCTTTACTGTGTCTCTAACCCTGACCTGGGAGTGCGGACACACAGTGTAGAGGGAGCTTTACTGTGTCTCTAACCCTGACCTGGGAGTGTGGACGCACAGTGTAGAGGAGCTTTACTGTGTCTCTAACCCTGACCTGGGAGTGTGGACGCACAGTGTAGAGGAGCTTTACTGTGTCTCTAACCCTGACCTGGGAGTGTGGACGCACAGTGTAGAGGAGCTTTACTG